CAGCAGGAGAATTGCTGGGCTGGCTGTGAGGGGACTACTGATCCTTTCTGACATCAACTGCATGAAAGAAACAGCATCAATTAAAAATTCCATAGGTTATCTGATACATGGGTATCTTTTATTTTTCTGGAACAGAGGCTATGTATAACAGTGAGATATACTTTTAAAATTAGTTTACACTTTCTAAAATTAATTCAATTTATGACCTCTGTTGATCCTGACTCAGTGCCAGCTATATTTGAGTTGGTGTCAGCACTATTGATGCCATATTTATCGAGAGCTGAATGACAAGATGCGATGATCATGGTGCTTTGAGGTAGCAATAATGATAGAGCTGGTTTAGAAGCAGGAAGTGTAGATGCAGGCTTAGCATTTCACTGCTCATCCTTAGTGTGCTGCTGCTTAAACCTTTCTCTGTTAGAGTGTCTGCTGTGAGAGTAGCTGTCAAGGAGGCTCAGGGAGAAACAATTGGTCACACAGATTTTGAACTGATTATTTTTATCCACTTCCCCTCACCCCTGGTGAAAAATAGCTGTATCATTTGCTGTGGAGCTGGTTCTCAGGTGTTAGACTGTTTTACGCTCCAAGAGAGCTACTCCTGTCAACTGTGCATCAGATGGTAAAAAAGCTGCTTGGGCAGGAATAAGTCTTGTTGCCAAAACTAAAATGATTTAACTTGATGTTTTAATAAATCTGATAATAAGAGAAATAATAAGTGAGAGAAAACTCACCTACTAAAAACCAAATATTCTCAACCTTGAAAAACTTCTAGTCTCTTTAAAGCTTTATTTCCTTGTATTGAATTCAAGGGCAGGGGTATCCAAACAGGAGAAAACGTGGCTGGTTAATGACAAACAGTACTTAAGTTCAAAGGCCAGAATAACTAATCAGCAAATACTATGTCTAGAGACTTTTTTCTCTTTATTACTTGTAGTTGTTATCTGTCTGTTTTTTTATTGTTTTGGGAAAGGAAATAAATCAAGGTGATTCTTAATGACATATATTGTGTCCTGGTCTAAACTGGACAAAGTTCTCACTGACCTTGAAGGCTGCAGTGGTTTTGCTCCAAAGATAAACTTGCCTGCTGCTTTGCATGCACATCAAGAGTACTGCAGAAAAGACTTGAAACTCGTAAGAAATGTGAAACACTGAATGAAAAACAAATAGAGGTAATGTAGTTGTTTAATGTAGACTTCTAAAATGAAAGTTAAGCAAGTTTGCATGTTAAAGCTCTCCTCTTCCAAACTTGCTGTTAGAAGAACCAAATGTTTAGATGGTATTTGCTTATTGGTATGTTATCGAAACTGTGTCTGTGGATTCCAACTTTTTTAGCTGCATTGTGCTCTGAGTCAAATAGATGGGGTTTTATTTTAGCTGAGATTTGAGTTGAAAGCACTTTGGAAATAGTAGGTACCTAATGCCGAAGTTCTCTCTGGGTCTCTACCACGACGGCGTTACCTTCTTGGAAAACCTCTCAGATAATACGTTCTTCACATTCTCTAGAGTTTTAAGAATTAGTGGATTCTCCTTGTCTCCAAGCAAAGCCAACAGAACTAAGGCATATAAAAACTATGCCTATAACCACCCATTCTGCTTTTTATTTTACTTTGGAAGGGCACTTAAAAACATGAAGGCCAAACATAACGCAAGCAGAGTGTGAAGCTGATATTTTAGTGACCTAAATAGAGTGCAGCATTGGAATGTCAGTGCTTATACAGCCCTCAAGATACCTGTATCTTTACAGTATCTTTAGCTTAGGAATCTGAGGAACTTTCCCCCTCTCATTCAGTTGTACAAACAGCCAAGATTATGTGCTTCAAAAGTCGTGCTTTTGTTGTATAACATACCTGTTCAGAACTGACTGAATAAGAGGTGAAATTTTGATGGGCTTGATCAAAGGTAATTTAGGGACAAGTTTTACAGATGAAATTTTGCTGTTTAATTTCATTTGGATTGGATTTTACCTGAATGCTTTTAACTCACTCTCCTACAAACACTCCCCCAAGTAATTTGTAAGACTTAGGCTTTAACATACGTCCATAATTCATAGAACATTTGGCAAGAGAGAGCTCTGAATAAATGCAGCAAAGGATGGGGAAATCTGAACTGTAAAATCCACCTCGATTATGATGAGCTGTTCACAGGAACTTTATGCTCTCTGAAAGTGGCATATAACAAACAAATGTTAAATATTTTAACTCTTGTTTTTTAACATGGGTAATAGTAAAACCAGGAGTAATTAATAGAAAGTAGAGTCAACTTCAGAAAAAATTCCCAGCAAATCCTCAAGGTAATAAGAAAGTACATTGCCATGGCTGTAGGAGAGATCACGCAATGGGTTTAATGGAAAAGCCAGGCCCACACCAGAGACAGAGTATAGGTTGGACCTGGAGGATCTTGTTTTTCCATTTATAATTCTAGGCATGATAATGTTGTCCGTGAGTAGGAAGCCAGTTAGACAAAAGATGCAGCAATACTAGAAGGGCACATGGGGGAGGGAGTTGGAGCAGTGCCTGCTGCCTGGAAGACATCCCCAGCTCTCCTGTGATGGCTGAAATTCTTTCAAACACTTAAAATAATTGCCTCATAAGATGATTAAAAAGTCATGAGAGTTGGGGGGGTGGTGGGGGGTGGATCATGGTGGTAAGCAATCAGAGTTGTCAACTGGAAAGACATGGGTACCCCTCAAAGGAGGGAGAGATTCAAGGAAATGAGCAGATTTGTTTTTCTTTTTCAAGTATAGGCAGCATGTGTTTAGTTACAGTGCTTTGTAAAACTGGTGTACAAGGACTAAATGTCATACAGATTTAGGACAGGCAAGATGGTGTTAAACTAGCACCATTCACATTTAAGTGGAATTAGGAGAAAGCTGAGGATTTTCTTACTGGTAAGGTGCTCAGTAAGATAACTTTTTTAAAAAATACATGGATAACATAATTTCAGTGTACTTTATTTCAGTGTACTTCATGCATTCTTAATAGCCATATTTCATAGATTTTTTTTTAATGTGAAAAACTCATAAGCAGGATGCAAGGAAAAAGATTCAAGATACACAGGAGATGGTTGTTTCTGATGAAGTTTCACAGATGTAATTCTTAGATGTAATTTCACAGATGTAATTTTAAGATGCAAGCTAAATCGTTTTAACTGTTCTCTGCATGTGTTGTTACTACATTAGGAAAATTGAATTAACTGTCTCCTTGTGTTTTTCAGGTCGGCAAATTCCACCCTTAGATCCTCATGAAAACGGTAACAATGGAGCAATCAAACTTGGAAAGCAGACTTCACAGACGGGTAGGCGGTGCTGCTGACCCAACTTGATCTTTTTAGATTTACTTGAAAAACAGCACCATTTGCTTTTTCACTGAGAAAGGACTTTGTGATCTCAGTAATGTGGCTTCTTATCTTGAAAGCAGTAATCTCAGTACTTCCCATGAGCAATAATGCAAGGACCAGAAGCAGAAAGCTTTACTTCAAAGGGATTTCGCAAAACTGAGTTGGAAAATCCTCTCTAATATCCTATCAAAATTACAATGTCAGAGTACTCCAATGACTGTTGTGGGTTGTTTGTTTGTTGTTTTTATTTTAATAAAAAGATCCTTTTTTATATATAAATTTTAGATGTGCTGCAAAAACTTCTCTTCTTACATTGCAAAGTGGACTTGGCATGTTTTTAGAGTTTTCTCTGTAATAATATAGTGGAAAAAAAGCCCATAAAACCTGGATTTTGGCTTACAGTTTCTCTGCCATCTTTCTAGCTGGACTCTGCTTATGTGTTTATCTAAATTTGTAGCTTCATCTCATAGCTTCAGTAAACATCAGCAAGAAATGGACTGAATTTGCTAACTAGAAAAAAATTGGATCATCCAAAGGATGAGTGAGCACAATTTTTACAGGCTAGAAGTCAAAATCTGTGTCAGGAGGTGCTGCGTACGTGAAAGAAGGAGTTGTCATGAAGGAGACTGCTGGACCTGATGCAGTTCCCAGTCTGCTCCAGAAAGAAGTGAAGATGCAGCTACTGTGCATTATCTGTATTGATTCCCTTTCCAGGGCATAGGCTTAATTCATTACTGAAATTGTAAAAAAGAACATCAATTCCAGCTAAATTTCCACTACTTACCAGGTTTCCTCCAAATCTGTGCCCCAGACCATAGTTGTCTCTGCTCCCTGGTTCCTAAAAGAGAGTGCCATATAGCTCCACTCCTTCATGGTCTGACATCAGTGCTCCAAGAAGTCTTCAAGTCAGAAGAACGATATTTCTGTACAAAAACAGCTGAAGAGAGCGCAGTAGAATTCAGGGTTAAAGGCTGGAATCTAATAGAACAAAACAGATGGTTTCTTTACAAATGAAATTCTGTGAATTTGTGGAGTAGTCTCCTCACCCATGTGGGCATGTGGTGTGGAAGACCCACTGCATGATACCTTTGAAGCTTGATGCACTTGAAAATAGAGTATAGAAAAAAAAATATCCAATAGATGGTTATGAACTAGATACAATGTAAAACTATGTGGTCTCCACTTCTGTCTCTCTCTGTGTGACTGAGATGCTCCAACACTGATTTATCTTCAGCAATTTCATTGGAAATTGTAACTACGGTAAGAATGCAGGCTGCAAAACCAAAGCCCAGCCTGCATTCCACAACATTAATTTGTTCTCTTAGGAGGAAAATTAACCTCACTGTTGTTGGGGGACTTAGGAAAAGCAAACAAAAGGAAAAGAATTTTCCACAATAAATCATGAACAGGCAGGCTAGAGCTGGGTTTCCATGTTTGTACATAAAAAACAGACTTTATTGCTTGGTTGCAAGATTGCCTTGATAAAATGGCACTAAATATTAGGGCTTGAAACAGAGCCAGATGAAATCAACAGGAACATTTCTTTGTCTTCAGAGGGCTTGAAGTAGTTATAGGTGGGAAACTTCCCACTGGATTTTATCTAAGAATCTAAGCTGCATTTTTTTTTTCATGTATAATCTATTTCTCAGATATTTTAGACTCCTTTGAAAGCACTCATACTTGAAAATATGCCCTCGGATAATACACAGACTTAGACAGCTACCATGAGAAAGGATATTTCAGGTAAACTTTCAGTTGTCATATGTGCTGATAGATGATTCATGTCCCTGCAGCAACTATTTTACAGATAATTCAGGCTTATTTAAGTGAAAATTCAGCAGCTGGTAGTTGGGGAGGGAGACAGGCTCCTTTATGGGACATTTCATCCCATCCTAGTACAAGAGAGTCTGCTGGGGGTGCGTGGCTCCTTCACCTGGCTGTGGAGGGAGAGGTTAACCTGTCCTTCAGCACTGGAGAAATACCAAACTTATCAACGTCACAGATTCATATAATTTATGAGGTTTCTGACCCAATGATGAAAGACATTTGGTTCTTCCTAAGTAAAACTCAGTAAAAGGCTAGACCTGTTACCAAGAAAACAAGGTGAGATTGAACCCACATTTCTAAAGGTGTCGTATTTTAATTCAACATATAGTAGTTATGCATAACTGATTTTTAAGCTTTCATAAATCTTTGTGGTGTACTTTTTTTTTTTTAATATGACATCTCAAAACTCATTAAGCCCTACTTGAGATGTCTGAAAGCTTTGTAAGATGATTCTATGAATACCTTGTGTACTCTAATTTATGCTAGAACTGGTAATTGATGCTGGTGTATATGGAATAGATATTGTCCTGAACAACCAGCTCTCACAACTGCCATTGAGCTGTATGTGAACCAGAATAAGTTTATGAGTTATATGTTAAAACAGTTTAAAATTGGAAGTTGTTATAATGGATCTCTGGCAGATTTTAAAGTTCAAATGTAGGCAAAAGTAAGCTTAAAGATATTTTTGCATTTAATGGGCCAAATCTAAATCACCTTAATCTACTTTTAGTCAAGAAAAAGATTTTAATGAATAAGGACTCTGAGTGTATAAGTTCTTGAGGTATGGGTTACGGGACTCTAAAGTCATAGGTGAAAAAAGAAAAGGCCACTGCTGTGCAGAGCAGCTCACATTTTCTTTGAAGGTAGGGCTTGTCTTTGATGGTGATGTTGCCTCTTGGCTGTTGGTCAAAGCTAAAGCGCAGCTTTAACCTGCCTCTTCACATGGGGGAACATTTGTTTTAAAAATTGTCATTTTCAAATGTAAATTAATTATTTCTGCTTCCTTTTGTTGTCTCTGTTGCTTGGAAAGTACCACTACCCTTCATAAACAGCCAGGAAAATGACATACAAAAAAACCCCCCAAACTCGGAGTGAAAAGTTTCAGCAGCAACTGGAATTCCTCTTAGTAGGTAGTGGCTGGTGAAAAACTAAATTACTGTACAGGAACACCTGACTCTGTAGCTGATCTGCTCTAATAATAATGATGATGATAATGACACAGTTCTAGGTTGGCCAGCTGGTGCTGGATTTGTCCATGAGTGGTTGTCTCAAGAGAGCTGGTGGCAGGACTGAAGGACAGGCTGCAGTGCCAAGGATGTTTGGTGGAGCTTGTTTGCACCGTGACTCAAGACTGTGACTGTCCAGTTGTGGGTGACTTGCTTTTCTGGCTTGTCATGAACTAGTTTAAAAACAAGATTATGAAGGAACTAGTTTTCATATATGCTCTGCATATGTGTGTGTATATAAGTACAGTTTTTTATTGTTATGCTGACATGTAGTGTTTTTTCACTATGTCTGGTTCTCATATACTACACATTGTATTCTGTAAGTACATTTCTTTTTTGTTAATGATCATTTCACCTTTATGAACTTAAAGTTACAGACTGAAGGTAGCGAGAAGATGGAGATATACATAGGTACAATTGTTGACTTGCCATTCTTATGGATGAAAGTGGCATATTGTATAAAAAGTTTGTCTTGCAGACTGAGAAATCTATAAAAAAGGCCATTATTGTCCAAGAATTGGGACTCTGAGGTATTCAAGTTACACTCCAACAAGAAAAACAAACAAAAAAAATCAAAATTTTGTTCATGTTACAGCAGATGTGTCTGAGGTGCTACAAAATAATATGGTTCTGTATCAATACCTAGAAGAGTTACCTATCATTCCTGGTCTTCACTAATCCTTCACGGCACATGGTACTAAGCGTGACTAGATAGATTATACATGTGAGCACTCTGACTATAATCAGACCTTTTCAGTACAATGATGATATATTTTACTATCCTTCCCTTAATTATTTAAACCAGAGTCAGTGATAAATTGTCAGTTTAAAATCACCTGCTAAGTACTCTTCCTCTGTTTTGTTTATATAAGGGCTTTGATTGGGCTGGACCCACTCAATTCATGTATGGGATGCTGCAATCTGTTAATACTTTACCTTCTGTTTTACATATTAATTGTATCATACCTAATAATATTTTTTGCCCTAAAATGTAGGTTTTGTGTTTTATTTAACCTACAATGATTAATGCTAATAAATGTTTTAAATACTTCTGATTTGGAGATGTCTGGTTTCAATAAAGCAGAACAAAATTGGTCCAATTTTTCACATCATTTGCTCTTGAAAAAGGGCTGTCTGGAGTCTGTGGGTTGCTTACTTGGGATTTAAATGGTGCTCGAAATGTGTGCAGCAGGCCTTTTAGCAGAAACTGAATGCCTTCCTGGGGGATCCTGCAGTGCCGATGAACTCTGGAAAACCAGGAAAAAATTATCTGAAAATCCCTTTACTAAGTTATTTGATTTATCCATTAGAAGAGTGGTACTTTAGTGGCTTGGAAATCTAGAACAGTAGCTGTCAGTAAAAAGTGATCTTACAGTTACCCCTTATTTTGAATAGCAACCATGATGAATGGGTCATAAGACAATTTTTTGTATGTTTTTATTTTGGTGGTTGTGGTGGTTTTGGTACCTTTAATTTTTTTTCCCTACTTTATGTCCCTTGAACTCATCTTTAGGAGTTGAGAATTAGCACTCCCTTAAGAACTATGCAGTATTTCATACCTCTTAGTGCTATTGTTTCAAGAGGTCTTTAAACTCACTAGTGCAAAAAACTTCTGTCTGATTCATATTTTCAAACTTACTGCTACAACTATAAGGACTATGAGTAAACAGTTGAGGTTTTTTAAGGTAAAAATAACTATCATGATAAATTCAATGCACACCAGTACACAAGAAGCACAGTAACTCAAATGACAGCACAGAACACCATTAATCTTAATGATTATCAATGTGTTGGAAAATCAGGAGTGAACACTACTTTTCCTTTCAGTATAGAAAGAGAGTGATGCCCCTTGATGGATCAGCCCTTGCGTTGTCAATGGGATGTTTTACATGGCTTGGAAGCATGTTCTTGTAGTGCTTTAG